GCTCTCCATCGTAGTTCTTCAGGCAAATGATGCCTAGAGGTCATTATTACGAATTGGCTATCTCAGATTTTCAATGTCGCAATCACAGTAAAATTTGTGTGCTTTCTCTCAAACTTGGACTTTTATGCTCCAGGCAGATGACGTAAGCCGAGTGCAGCGCCACTAATTTGCATATTGCAATTTTACTCAGCTACTCTTAGTGGACAACATATGCAAATTTTGCACGGTTTGGCTTACTTTTGAAAGAGTTATCGCTATTTTTGTGATTTTTCCTTAATTTATGATAACCAGTGTATTTAATGCTTTCATGTGATATGCAGCAGTTTTAAACAGCACTTTAAAATATCCAAAAAAAGGACAGAAATTGTCAGTTCAAAAAAAAATTAACTAATACTTTTGAATAAGAATTTAAATAACTACACACATTTGTTTTGCTATCTCATTCTATATAGCATTATTTAGAGTAGACAGCTGCGTGTGGGTGTGATGATGACGTAATAAAAGAGGCATACAAAAAAAAGCAAATTTCATTTCAGTTAAAATCCTCAATATTATGTTTTTAAACTCCTCGAAAATGTAGTAAAAGGGGTATACAAATTAACTGTCGCAAACAAATTAATATTAAGTAAGAACGAACCAAAAATATGATATCGAAATATACTAGAAGGTGTTTCTAAAATTCTGAAATCTATCAGGCTTTAATTTTTTTTTTCTGTCACAAACTTTATCAGTAATTAAAAATAATAAACTCGTCAGATTTCAATACTGGTTCTGTTTTTACGTTGATTAAATGTTAAACATTAATAAATATTTGTCTTTTAAAACATTTCATTCTATAATTAGATAATTATTCTACAATTGTGATTATCTAAAACTAATTGATATAAAGCTTTAGCGTGTTCCATTGATATGTTGAAAGCTCGTTTTGGCGGGGTGCCTGGGACAGTTGCTCTTCCACATCCTAGCCACTATACACCATCAAGAGCAGAGCTAATACTTAAAACTCGTATGAGATTTATTCTCTCTGATATTCAATAGACCCTTAAATAAATCCTTAAAAATATAAGCCAAAAATTTACATAAATAATGACAATTTTTTTGCACTAAAATTTAAAAAATGTACTTAAAATAATTAAAAAGAAAACAAAAATAATGAAGAAATATTTTCAATATAAACATCAATTAAATAATATCAGCTTCCGAAATGTTCTTTTTATTTTTACAAACAGTATTAATATAACGGTCCTCACCTGCTCCAGGGACTGCTGGATTGGGTTCAAAATGACAAGGCCACGGAGTTGAATATTAGTAGTTGTAAACTCGAAATTGGGTCGACTGTGCGATGACTGTTATAAAATAAATTAATAAATTTGGCCGGGATAGCTTGGTTGATAGGGCGTTGAACTCGTGTTCGTGAGAATGGGAGTTTGAATCCAGCTGGCAGAAGCATACCCATGTATAAAATGGTGACTGGTGCATGTTAAATCTGTCGAGGTCACAAAGTCCTTCAA